ATTTCCTTTTTGGAATTTTATGAAGTTTCTATCAGGCTTTTCCTCCAGCTTATTGAGATCTTCCAAAATAGCCTTCCTGCACTAGAGCATATCAACTGATCCTCCAGTGTCTGTAAGCCTGCCAAGAGTTTACTCTGTCTCATTGTTCTCATCTTTAATGAACATTGAAGTCAACATCCACCCTGAGGGACACTGCTGCTAATCAGCTCCTGCCTAGGTTTGGATCATGGATAGTCTTTGAACCTGGCAGATCAGCCTGTTTTCCATCCAAATCATACACCACGTATCCAATCTATGCTTCACCAATTTTGCTACAGAGCCAAAAGAGCAAAAGGTAGGTTGAGTAAGCATGCAAGCATGCAAGATGGCAAATAAAGGTTATAAGGGAAAGGTTATAAGCCTGGCATATAAATCTCATACTCTAAAGTTAATTTGCATAAAAATTACTAAGTGATTAAAAAAACGAACCAGATTGTACCAGAAATTCTAAATAGATCTTCATGTCCCCTGTCAGCCATACACAATTTTTTTGCAGAATGATGCAATCTAGTAAGAACAGTGTGATTTACAGACAATAACAAATTTTATAACAACAGCTTTGTCTCTTTGGCCCTCCAAGACCAATTACAAATTCTGGGTAAGTATCAGCCCCCATTTACCTGGAATTGATACCAGCATGTTTTAGATAAAGCAGAGGAGTGTTTTTCTTGTTTATGCCAAATTCAAGGCAGGTAGTATTTAAGTGGGCAGTTTCTTTCCAATATGGACTGCTCTGACTGGCCAGTACCAGTCAAATGATGCAGTTTGTCCTGTGTTCTCAGCAGAGAGGGGTGCAAGTTAATATATGTCTGGTTTTACCACTTACTTCAGTCTAAATTTACCTTAAGGGTTTTTTTCCTTTTACTTCTGATCTTAGTCTTATGAACCTTTTCATATTTGATGACATTTTATTCCAGTGTAATCTAGATCCAGTATCTTATTCTCTTGCATGCAACATTTGCAAGATCTGCTAGTATAGTGCAATGAATTTAGTAATTTCATATTTCAGTAATATTTTTTTCTGAATTAAAACCCAGCAGCATATTTAAAGATAAAAACAAGAGTCATGACCATTGTGTCTAAAGCAGAAATTAAAAAATAAATTGCATTACAATATAAAAAATCAGTATCTTTTATTTATTATCCAGTAGTTAACATTTTAAAGAAATATTTCTTTAATGTTTGAGGACTGAGGAAGAAAAAATTTCCTTACTTCTGTTCATACTTGATTTTTTGTGAGGATGTTTTTGTGGGGACTTTTTCCCCCTGTAGTCAGTATTTCTTATGTGGAGAAACAACGCCATAAAAAGCCCCATAACTTTATAGATCTTATTCTTTTATGTTGTGTTTAGCATGTTTTGGAAAGAAAGGTAATTACATTTGTTTGTTGTTTTTTTTTTTTAAAGAAATAACCTATATAGACCAAGATTTGCTCTTCAAAAACATTGTAAATACATAACCCCCACAGATTTTGGAAAAATGGATTACTGTCTGCTGGTATTACTTCCCCAGAAAGAGGGCATCTGAATTAAATCTCAGTACTGCCACTTTGTATTTATGTTGCACAGATTGCTGAGCTCAGTGGGACTAGTTCCACAGGCAAATCTGACATTTGGTATTTATTTATAATACATGTTTCAGTTCTATAACGTAAGTAGGAAATAAAATTTACTTATATAAACCTTCATATGCTTACCTTTTACTTAAGCTTACATATTTTGGTGTATATTGTGTTAAATTATATGTTGATCAGAATATATTAAATATGGGGGAAAATCTATAAATTTCTCATACTTCCCTTGTAGACATTGTGATTGTGTGTTGTCTTAGTAATAATCTGTATTTATGCATTTTATATAGATGTCTATTCTATCGGACTAAATCCATGTGTATTTTTTGTGTGATTTCTTTGATATCGTTATAAAAGTCTAGCATTGTCTAGAATCTATCACATAAATAGGTCATGTGCAAGGGTATAGATATGAGTGATCAATGAAAGGTCACTCCAAGGTCACTCCTAAATGTTACTCCGTACATATATTTATGACCTACGAAATTGTGAAGAATTGAGGATGTGTACAAGCGTACCTTATTGGAAAAACTGAAATTCTTAACCTGTTTCTTCCATTATTCTTATTATAAATCGCTCTAAGTGCTAGATGTCCAGGATACCAGGAAATCTACTTTCCTTTTTACATATTGCAATGCTCCTCAGAATAAAAAAAAAAAAAAAAAAGAAAAGAAAAATTAGGCACTTTTAATAACTTAAAAAGGGAGCAAAAATTTATAATAGTATTAAAGCAGCAGATTTCTCAGTTTGGAGGATTTGTCAAAATTTTAGAAGTTATTAGGAAAATTTTGAATTTGCAGAGCCTCATAATTAGAAAAATGTAATAGGGCAAAAATGGATTGAAAAGATTACTTTTTTCAAAAATTTATTTTTATTTTTTCCTTTCGCTGCTAGGTTCTGTAGCCACTGCCTGCCGTGATCCTGGAGTCCCCATGAATGGAACTAGAAATGGGGATGGAAGAGAACCTGGAGATACTGTTATTTTTCAATGTGACCCTGGCTATGAACTTCAAGGAGATGAGAGAATAACCTGCATTCAGGTAGAAAATCGGTACTTCTGGCAGCCCAACCCACCAGTCTGTATAGGTATGAAGAAAAAAATCAAATAATGCTTTCCTAAAAGTAAAAATCCTGATGTAATTAATCACACTGCTCTAGGAACTCACTTTGAAGAACATACAAGTACTGCACATCTGAGAAATTATTTTGCATAAAGCCCTGATGGACATAACCAAAACCTATCCTATGTAGTTACTATAATAGTTCTCATCCCTTTTCTCTCAGGGCCATATCATTTATACTTTGATAATCTGTGACAGAGAAAGCAAGAAGGTCTATGTCAATGACTACTATCCCTGATAGTCTTATCTTGGACAAACATCACAGGGAGCAACTTGCCAGAGATTACAACTGCTAGGAGCACTGTATAGCTTTCAAACACTCTCCTTTAATAAACTTAACTTGACCCTAGCTGTTGTAAATAAAATCTACATCCTATTTTCATACGCATGTATGCACACCACCTCCCCTGTTTAGGCAAGTCTGCAGACAGGTGTTTGCAAACATATTACAGTACTGACTTGGTGTCTTGGCTATTCTACTTAAGAGGTCAAAGTGTTATTTTTTCTGTTCTTACTCTTCTTACTATGTTTGCCTGTGTATTGTGAGTGTATGGGCTTGAGGACAAGAATTTGCTGGAAGACTTCAGTAAAGAAATATTTTATTGTTCATCTCTTATAATTCTTATATGTGAAAATGATATATTTATAATAATAACATCTGTAGGTGTCTAAGTGAAAAAGTAAAATGAATTCCAGGGCTCTAGGAAGAGGCCCTATAGTTAAAATATTCTCTCATGCTGGCCTCATTTAATATTACTGGGTTTTAAATATATTTTTCAACTGAGAAATAATTACCCTTTTATAAAGCAGCATTTGCATTTAATCATTATCACTACTGAGTTGATGATATCATTAAACACATTAAATGTAAGTGCTCACCTGACATTCTGTCCTTACCACATGTGTAAATATGCATACACTTGGTTTTTAACTGCATGCATCCATTTACCTAATACTGGTAATTTCCACACTTTATGCACCTCCTGTATACAAAGTAGTAAGAATGTTTATTATGATTATTTATTTGTCTAAATATCAAGCATGAAATTATCTTCTATTGATTTCCTATAATAATACATTGTTGGGGAATATGAAGTGCTAATAGACTAAAGTAGAGTGTGTAAATCTTGCCTTGGAGCCAAGAGATTTCAAAATTGTGTGTTGTACTTCAGTACACCTTGAAGTTCATTGATTTTTTTTTTTCCAAACTTGTAATATCTTCGTTAATGTTCTTTCCATGCCTGTAAATCAAAACTTACTCTACACATAACTTCAGCATCATCATGGTTTATCAAAGACTTAGGAAAAAAGAAACATAATTTTGATGGAAGAATAAGAGGCAGGGATAATTCCTGAGGTGTACACTTGTACCGTGTTCTAGGTTTATTTTATTAGCTTTTTATGCTCCAAAGTGTCTTTTCAAACCTCCTTATTATTAATGCTCAAAACTAAAATGTACTTGTTAATTGTTCCTACCTGTGGGAGTGTCTTGGTTGTAAAGAAATTTTAAGAACATCTTCCCTTCAAAGGTAGTCGCAACGGGAAAATTACAAAGAGCTAAATAATGATTCATGCATTTGAATGAAAGATAATAATTAAAAACTCTTCTATGCTGAAGCTATTCTGACAAAGTATAAATTTGAGAGCATGTCTCTGCCAAAAAGCAGTCCTTTGGCTTATGTCTGTGATGCAAAAAATAGCTAGATTTCTTCCATTCCGAAGATTTTCTGGATCCAATCTCATCTGGATACCAGAATCTTAAATTATTTTATTTCTTTAGTTTTCTCAGTGATAATATTAAAAATACTGGCTTGCAAAAAGTCTCTTTGGGATTCAGATTAACTATACATTTAGGGGAGGTATGGACTGTCTCTCAGAAGTTTCAGACTTTCTTCAGAAATTCATAGGCAATTATATTATTTTTTTAAATTGTGTCATGGTTTTGCTTGTTTCTGTTGTTTTTCTCGGTAAAAGATCTTGTGAGCAGTTAATTTCTGTGGTGATTTCCTCAAAATGTGATCTATATGACACTAATATAAAGTTAAATTTCAGTAGTGTTTTCATATTTCATTATGATGATTTAAATTTGTCTTCAGACTAAATATATGGAAAAAAATTTTTACAGTTAGGATGGTTTTGACTAGATGATATTTAAAGTTCTTTCCAACTCAAACCATTCTATGATTATTTAATATCTCTTATTAGAAAAAAAACCAAAAACATACATTCTGTTTGTTTTGTTAAGAAGTAATTCAAAGCATAAATAAATAAATAAAGGACAGAAAGCTGGTGAATAATATTTTCTTACATTCTAGAAATTAAATAGGTTTTAAATAAAAGTAACCCAACCTATACTTCCTCCCATAGGGAAAATGACTGCTAAGATCAGCAGAGAGACAGCTAGGCACAGCACTTCCTTACCACTGTGTCTACACAGAGGCTTATAAAGACGAGCTGACACAACTTACATCTAGTTTTCACTGCATAACACATAAAAAAAATTATATTTTTCATAATGTACGTACTGACATTTACCTCTCTTTCTAGAGGAGTTGTTTTATTTGTTCAGTCTTATGTCTTATGTCCAATACTTGTAAAAGGTGGGTGTTCTTTAAACTCTGTTTTAGAACCGGTCTGTCCTCAGTTAAAAATAAGGCTATGGCACTTAATAATAACTTTCTACACATTGCATCCTGAAAATTATGGATTCTGAAGCACACAAAAATTTAATTAAAGCACACAGAGAAAGAGAATGTCTATAAACAACTTTAGAGGAAGATGGTAAAGTGGAAAAAGAAGTATCATGCCATAACATTTTTCATTAGATGGTGTTAACATTCTGAATTTGCTTTCTAATGAACTAAAAATTAAAAAAACCCTTGAAACTGGTGTATCTGAAGAAAATTCTATCTGGGAGATATTCTATAAAGTTGAAGATGGTTTTTTGGTTTTGTTTGGTTGGGGTTTTTTTTACTGCTCTTAATGGCATAGCTTGAAATAAAATATATTCTGGCTGTCAGACTTCATTTATTCCCTGGAGAGACTTTTTGATTATCAACTAGACCTTGGGACAGTTTAAATGAAAGAATCAGTCTCACTGTAAATAGAAAATGTAACTGCTAATGTGTGTAAAGAAATAACAAGTACATAAAAAATTAAGTTACTAATATGAAAATATTCTATCAATGAGATATATGAGATATAACAGAGAGCTAAACCAAACAAAACATCAGGAAAGTATCAGGAATGCAGACACTGGCAGAACATAGTGTGGAGCAAGGTCATAGCAGTTTAACTTCTTTATATCATCATATGTCCCTTCAAGATACCTGAAAAATATCATCAGACTCATACAGTTTAGTGGTCATTTCAGTGAAGCTTGATTACAGTGAATGACCTAAATATCTTCATTGCTACTTTTAAAATTTTCATTCTTGAGATATGCAGATAGTGCAACCAGAACTATTAAAGCACTTGAGGGGAGGAGTCTAGAGGGTTATACTGAAGAGCAGTAGTTCCAGCTGATGACCAGCCTTTACATTCCATACAACCTCACAGCTCCTCTTTTGCTTGAACTTTTACTTCAACAAGACAGAAGGTTGCAGGGACCTCTTTTACAGTCAAAGGAAAGTTTTCAGTCAAAAGAAGCATATTGTTTTGTAATAATTTCATTTTACTTATTTCAGAATTGTGACAAAAGAATATTAAATGACAGATGTTCTTAAACAATACGAATTTTAATTTTTTGAATTGTTATCCTTCTTGTAAACGTGTTTCATACTAAATGAAACTTCTCCAGTGTGTTCTCCTGTAGCTAATGATATTTTCTCTAGCAACTGAAAATATCTGAGGGATTTATTGTGATAAAAATTGTATTTGGCAGTTATTAAGAAAAACAAAACAAATTGTACTAGGCCTGGAAAATATATTTTATGCATTTACTAGTACTATTGATTTATGATATTTTTGTGTTCCTTGAGCAAGGAGTTGTTTCAGCTTTTAACTGTTTTTACTCCAAAATGGTGATTTTGGAATTCATATGACTTACTCCCTTTTAATATTAAAAAATATTTAAAATGTAGAAAGACTACACTCATATAGACTGCAACTATAAATGCATTAATCTACTTAAGCATTCTGTTTGCAGTACTTGAATTCATACATGACTTGTGATTTAATTTATAGAATCATAGCATGCTTTGGGATGGACCATCTAGTTCCCATCCTCCTACCATGGGCAGGGACACCTTCCATTAGACCAGATTGCTCAAAGCCCCATCCAGCCTGACCTTGAACACTTCCAGGGATGTGGCATCCACAACTTCTCTGGACTTGTTCCAGTATCTCATCACCTTCATAGTAAAGAATCTCTTATTAAACTTACCTTTCAATTTAAAACCCTTCTCCCTTGTCCTGTCACTGAATGACCTCATCAAATGTCCCTGTCCAGATCTCTTGTAGGCTCCCTTTAGGCACTGGAAGGCTGTTGTAAAGTCTTCTGGAGCCTTCTCTTCTCCAGGCACAACAATCTCATCTATCTCAGCCTGTCCTCATTGGAGAGGTGATCCACCCCTCTGACCATCCCTTCTCTGGACCTGCTCTGACTGATCAATGTCTTCCTTGTGCTGGGGGCCCTGGAGCTGGATACGGTATTTCTCATGACATAAGGAAATACTGTGTATATTTCCCACTAGGTTGAGTAACACCTGTACATATCATCTTGATCTGTATACATCATCTTGAGTGCCATCACACAGCACATACCAGACAACCAGGAGATCAGGCCTAGACAGCACTGGTTTATTAAAGGCAGGTCCTGAATGACTAACATGATCTCCTTGTACGACAAGAACGCTTGCTCAGGGAATGTTGACTACCCAGAGTTTAGTAAAGACTTTGATTTGCTACAGCATTCTCATGGAGACTGACTGTTCATGGGTTGGAGGGGTGAACTCTTCACTGGGTAAACTACTGGCTGGATGGCTGGGCCCAGAGTAATGGTGAATGGATTTACATCCAGCTGGTTGATAGTTGCTAGTGGTGTTTCCCAGGGCTCAGTACTGGGGCCAGTCCTGTTCAACATCTTTATTGATGATCTGGGAGAGGGGATATAGCACACCTTCAGTAAGTTCACAGACATCACTAAGTGGTGCAGGAGTGTTGATCTGTTGGAGGGGAAGAAGACACTGCAGAGGGGTCTGGACAGGCTGGATCAATGGGCCACGCCAACTGTAAGAGATTCAATAAGATGAAGTGCTGGGTCCTGCACTTAGATCTCAACAATCCCATGCATTGGTACTGGCTGGAGAAGAATGGCTGGAAAGCTGTCTGATGGAAAAGGACCTGAGGGCATTGGTTGACAGCCAACTGAACATGAGCCTGCAGTGTGCCCAGGTGGCCAAGAAGGCCAATGACATCCTGCCTTATATCAGAAATGGTATGGCCAGCAGTTGAGGGCAGTGATTGTCCCCCTGTACAGGGCACTTGAGAGGTTGCATCTTGAATCCTGTGTTCAGTTATGAGGCCCTCACTGCAAGAAAGACCTTGAGGTGCTGGAGCGAGTCCAAAGCTGGTGAGGGGTCAAGCCTCCTGAAGATCAGATGAGGAAGTTGGGATTGTGTAGCCTAGAGAAAGGAAAGCTCAGGGAAAACCTTCTTGCTCTCTACAACTACTTGAAAAAAAGTTGTAGTGAGGTGGGTGTTAATTTCTTCTCCCAAGTAACAAATGACAGGATGAGAGTTGCACTCAAGTTGCACCAGGGGAGGTTTAGATGGGTATTAGACAAAATTTCTTCACCAAAAAGATTACCAAGCATTGGAACAGGCTGCCAATGGAAGTGGTCAAGTCCCCATCCCTGGAAGTATTTAAAAAATGTGTAGATGTGTCACTTAGGGACATGGTTTGGTGATGAACTTGGCAGTGCTAGGTTTACAGTTGGACTCAATCTGTATGGTTCTATAAGTGATTTAAATAACCTTAGAGCTCACAGTTACAGAATCTCTGTCACAGAAAACCTGAGTCATCAATTACTCACCTGGGAACTGTAGATGATCACTTAATTAAATTAAATTAAAGTTTGTAAAATGATAAGTCCTTATAAATCTTATCTAGAATTTTTTTAATAACATTTTTAAAAGTTCTTTTAAAAATATTTAGAAAACATGCTCATTCTCTTGTTGAGACATGAAGTGTCACATAAAGAATGCTGAAGAACAAGATTTATTTATACTTTCATTCTTTTTACTATTTATATTTCTGGACCAAAACCCCACAACTTTTAGTAACCTCAATAATCACATAGACAAATGCAGTTGTTTCACTCTGACTGTGCTTGAAAGCTATTTTATTTATCTCTGAGTTTGAAGACTGCAATTATTTGAATTTTTTTAAATTTGTATTATATCCATCTTGATCTGAATTACTACTGAGTGTTGTCTGGTGAAAAGGCAGGTAATTACATTATCAGTGTAAGTAGATCATATTTCATAGTCTAACAATCTTTCTTTAGAATGCCTTTAATAAGAAGTAGAAAGTGGAAAGCTTACCCAGTCAAGTTTTTTAAGTCTGTAGCCAGAGCATTTTTTAAGTTCACAGTGTATTCAAAAAAGCCTTGACATAATATTATGCAAGCAAATAAAGTGACACAGAGTTCAAAAACGAGTGTTTCACTTAGTAATATTACAATTTGTCTAAGGTGAAATGTGAATATATGGACGGGTTGTTTCTATTAAAGCTTCAGTTGTTTTTCGTTTAACTTTTGGAGGACATTAAATGTCAGTGAACAGATTGCTGTGACTTCTTTATTTCTTACCTTCTTTTCTCAAATTCAATCTATTTTTATTCACAGCTCCCTGTGGAGGAAACCTGACTGGCTCTTCAGGTTTTATACTTTCACCAAACTTCCCTCATCCTTATCCTCACAGCAGAGATTGTGACTGGACTATCACTGTAAATAATGATTATGTTATATCATTAGCATTTATCAGGTAATCTGCTACTTACTCATAATTTTTAAAGTCATGTTTATAACTTTATTATTGGCAGTTGTTCAGAGTTTTGTAGAGTAACATATGTATGACTATCAATCTGATTAATAATTGTTATCTTTGTTACCAGTCACAACAAATCCAAAAGAGTACTCAATACACTGACCAGTGGAGCTTGGGAACTCATTGCTCTTGTTTACTTTAAAGCACTATCTTTGCACTGGCTAATGTCAAGGTGGATGGTGCTCAGTTTATAAGATTGAATTCCTGAGAAGGCAGCATGGATGGAGTAACTCACTGAACTCTCTACAACCAGGATGGTCTTTAATGGTGAAACCCACATTTTGTTAGAGACACCAGCTATATAGGCAAAATTTCAAAAGCTGTCTTTACATTTAGTTTTATTAGTCCATATCATTCCAGGATCCTTCAACAAGATACTTCCTGATGTTCTGGTTATTAGATGGAATTTTTCTAGAATTTTCTTTAATTACAATGCAAGAATAAATTGACCTTAATAGAATCCACAGAGGAACTTTTGCTGAATTCACTGTATGTAACACAGGATGCAAATTATTATACCTATTATGTATAAAAAATATGCATTCCAACTGGGAAATATGTCACAGAAAAGGTAAAAATGGTACTTGTGATGTAAGTATTTAAGTTCTTCTTATGCTGGATGTTCTATAATAGTGTCTTTATAATTCTGATCAGTGCTAATGTGATGACTTCTTTAGTGAGATAGGTCATATAGTTTTCTGTTCTTGGTGCTCAGTGATATGTGTTTTAGTGAATTCATTCTAGGGAAATAATTGTTCTATTATATTTACATAATTTATTATTTAATTTTGTTGGTAATTTCAGAATGTAAGTTGCTAAGGAACTTTCTATTGTGCAGTAGCACTTATATATGGTCAATTGCTGTGGTTTTTGACAGAAGCTGAGAAGCTCAGTCTTGGTCAAAGAAGACTGCATTCTTACTGAGAATTGCCTCATTTACAACACACAGACAGTTTCAGAGTGAGAAACTGAACACTCTACTAAGTGATGTTAAATAGGCTTTTTACTGGAACTTACTCCAGCTAATCCTTTTAAACTCAAAACAAACTGTAGCACTTTAACAATCAAAGGTGTTGACTTTTGACTTTTGCATTTCTTTTGTAAGGAAATATTTAAAAATATTAAAAAAGGAGCTCTATAAGGTCTTCAATGCCTACATTTATTTCAGTCAAGGGCTACTTTAGAGACAACATAGTTTGGATTTTCATTCTTTTACTAAGAATCCTTTTTAAAAAACATTTTTTTTGTACAGGGACAATCTTGTAAGTAAAATTGGTTAACTCTTGCCCTTAACTTAAAATTAAATTCAAACTTAACTAGTTAAGTTAGTTAACTAACTATAATTTTGTTCAAAAGATGAGGTTTCAATACTACATCTTTGTATTTAAACTGATTACAGGCAAAATGCTTCTTGCTCTCAGTTATGGGAAGATCATCCCCTCTCTGTGTGCAAGTGTTTCAGTCTGATTAGAAGCTGTGTATTCTCTACTCTACAGTTGACTGTATTATATCATAAAGCATTTCTGCAAAGGGTTCTAATAGTTCTACATTGTTTATTTTTCTAGAGCTTTAGAAATATTCTATTAATTCTTTTTTTCTATTGAAAAAGGTCTGGTTGTGGGGTGTTTTTTCTGGTCAGCAGTGAAATATTGTTTCTAAAGAGAGAAACAAATAATGTGGTATTTCTTTATTTTCTACTAAAACACTTCTACAAACCTTTTTTCTGACAGTGGTGGCTTTGTTTTCCTTTTATGAAAACAGTGATATTAAACTTCAAATTTAAGCTAACAAGAGTGAAAATCTTAGGCAAAGTATATTCTATCTAACATTTCTCTCTCTCTCTTTTTTTTTTTTTTTCCCTCCAGCTTCAGTATAGAACCAAATTATGATTTTCTTTATATCTATGATGGGCCAGACAGTAATAGCCCACTAATTGGGAGCTTTCAAGATAGTAAACTGCCAGAGAGGATAGAAAGCAGTTCAAATACTATGCATCTAGCTTTTCGGAGTGACGGATCTGTTAGTTTTACTGGATTCCACTTAGAGTACAAAGGTAAGTAAAATTTTTTTTCTTTTCTATTTAAAAAGTTCAGTGCATAAGTGCAAATTTTAATCTGTTGGAATTTCTTGAAGTTTTCTACCTGGTAATGTTGTTGTTTTGCCTAAGAGTATGATAATGTGTATAACGTTATAACCTTGCTAACTTAAGATAGAGCTTCTAATATGATTTCATATACCTGACACATGATAATTTTTGAACCAGGCTGGATGGGGGTTCTAAGTAACCTGGTCTAGCAGAAGGTTCACTGCCTATGGCAAGGGGTAATGGAACTACATGATCCTTAAGGTCCTTTCCAACCCAAACCATTCTAAGAGTCTATGATTCTGTGAACAAAAATGAGACAGTAGTTTACAGGTTTCAAAAATAATGATGCAGTGGCAAAACTTAACAGTATATATATGTGTTTTATCCAGAATTTAAAGTTTATTTTTATGTAATATAGTAGGTCATGTTGACTTATGTGCATTTAGGATTCTGCAAGATGAAATGATGTGCAAGAAGGCATCCAAAATTGGAAATAAAAAAATATTTTGACTAGATCTTTGTATCATAGACAATAGTAGAGCTGTCTTCTTGTCTCAGACATATCTGCCTAAGGTCATAAAACAGTAAAAAAGAAAATATAGATTTGCAAATGTATAATCAGTAGTAACTTTCATAACTGCCTCTACATGGCTTGAGAAACAGAAATATTTGCTAGTAACTAAATATGAAAATATTCAATAATCTGTAAAGACAACCAGAGGGAAAATAAGAAAGTTGCTGGTATAGACCTCCTTGGTCTTATTTTCTTCTCCATTTATTCTGATAGCAATTAGGAAGGAAGGGAAAGACATATTTGTTACTTTGGAAAACGCATGAAGTCTCATACTTTTCTAAAGTCATGGGATTCTACTGATGGAAAGGGAGTTTACACAGTATGAGCCAGTCCTTAAAAGTTAAAAGAGATATTCCATATTATATGGTGTTGTCTCAAGCTCAGCATACAAACTAAAGGGAAATCTGGCCTGGGGGACACTATTTAGGAACCAGCTGGGCATAGGTTGGTTGGTGGTGAGTAATTGTTTTTCATTTACATAACTTGTTTTTCTGGGATTTAATTTCTCTCTTTTTTTTTCCCACTTTCATTTTTATTTCAATTTATTATTATTTCTATTGTTATTTTTATTATTATTATTATTAGATTTTATTTGAACTATTTAACTGTCCTTTTTTCAATCGACAAGTTCTTTCAGTTTTACCTTTCTGATTCTCTGCCCTATCCCACCATCCTGAGTGATCAAGGAGTGTGGTGCTTGGTTGCTAACTTGGGTTAAACCACAACAGACCTTTATGGTGCTCAACATGGAGTTTGAAAGGTTGAGTTGACTGCAGGTCTGACCAGAGCATGTTAAAACAAACTTGTTTTAAGCATTCATTATATTAGTTTAAAAGTCACTGGTCACAATGTTGATTAATTCTCAGAGTTGTTGTGCTTGTTCTGAGAGTTGTGTTATTTAAAAACTTACTTTCTCTAAATGTTCTCTTTTATTTACCTCTGGGAGCTGGATGAGGGATATCACTGTGTAACACTGGCTTATGATATGGTAAAATATATAATGTTTGTGAGATTACTATGCTATTTTTACTCAGCATTGCTGTCATCTCTGTACTTAGGGAACCATCTCTTGAAAACCTATTTATTATCACACCATTTACATTTTCTGCTCAGAGAGCCAATCTGTGGGGCAGATAAGGTGTAACACTTGCCCCACTCTTTCAGCTTTCCTTTCTTCTTCACCTTCATCTTCCCCTCCAGCTACTTTCAATAGCCCTTCAGAATTTTGAATTTCCTCGGGATGTTCAAACCAGTGCATTCATGTTGCTATGTCTCCTGAATATATCTCAGGTTTTGTTTAAAGTTAAACAACTATTTAGGAATACTGCCCAGAGATCTGCCCTGAGGCTGGATAGTTATGAGTGGTAGGGTGCATGTAATACTATGGACAAGAATCAAGGACAGCGGGCACCTCCAATATTTTGGTACTTCAACTCTGAACAAGTGCAGAATCCTGAAAAACTAATAAAATATTTGGGAAAAGTATCTTGTCACACTGTCAATTCCAGAGAGACAATTCATTGCAATAGGCTGGGACCTGGCCCAGGCCTAGCAAGCCCTATTCAATATAATTCACTATCCTCAAGGCAAACAGTCTCTGGATCTGATAGCAAAACAACAGACACAGTGGCTACTTCACCTTCCAAGATAAGCTTTGCAGCTGAACCAGAGGAACAATCAATGCTGGTATCAGTCACCCTACACACAAAAAGAGATATCAGGTGCAAAAGGCAGCTGGTTTGGTAAGGAAAGAAACTCCTACTAAGAAAGGAAAGGAGGAGCTGGATGAAGAGGGCTACTCTGAGGCAGAGCCACCACAAGAAGAGGAGGAAGAAGCAGAACTCACAAACAAGCCAGTTACTACCCAATCAGCAAATTGTCACCTTTGCTGCTCCAATACTGGGTAGCAGGGCCAGTAGGCTGGAATTAGAGGGTAAGGAAACCAAGCAGCTAGGATGCCTTTCTAGGGGAGGAGGCATTGACAAAGTCATTGGAAAAGGGGCACAATCCCTCAGCCTCTGAAGGTGATTCCTGTCAGGCACGAAGAAAAGGTAACCCTTCAGGGAAGTTGTTAAATGCCATTCAGGCAAATGGACAACCATGAAGAAAGGTATCCAATACCTGAGGGAATCAGCCATGCTGCAGGTAGTTTGTGATGACCTGTATAATGAGCAGTTATCCAAAGATACAGATGAAGTCCAGTACACACAACCCATGTGGTGTAACTTTTTACAGAACATACCATATGCCAACTCTTTGGCAGTAAAAACCTGGAAAGACAGAGAGGGGCAAACAGTGGACAAAGTGGACATGGAAAGAACACAAGAAAGTGGAATGGAATACCTACTTCAACCCTAGTTATACAGGTATGTGAGTTGGAAGGAAAAAAAATCACAAAAGGCTGTGAGCAGGAAAAGGCTGCTCCAGTTTCCAGGAGGATGGGGGAGAGAATCAGAAGATTGAAAATGAAAAAATTTGTGGGTTGAGATAAATACAGTTTAAAATGGAAAGTAAGAGCCATGCACACAAGCAGAGCAAAATAAGGAATTAGTTTACAACTTTCCATGGACAGCCTGGTGTTCAGTCATTCCCGGGAAAGTAGGGCTATGACATGTGTAACGGCAACTTCGGAAGACAAACGCCTGAACTTCAAATGTCCCCCCCCTCTTTCTTCTTCTTCCCCCAGATTTATATGCTGGGCATGACATCATATGGTATGGATCCCATATCAAATGGGTCATACAATATGACCCAACTTTGGTCATTTGTGGTCAGCTGTCCCAATTCGATTTTCTTCAACTACCTAATAAGGGAGTATTGAAAAGACAGAGCCAAAGTCTTCTTACGTGCAGATAGTGATGAGAGCTGATGGACATAAGTTGAAAAAAGAGAAATTTCAATTACATATTATAAGAAGGTAAATTGCTCTGAAGTTAGCCAAACATTGGAACTTCTTGCCCTGAAATGATGTCTTCTGAATCCTTTGAAATCATAACCAGACTATACAAAGTAACCTAATCAAACTGGCCCTACTTTGTGCGGGGGTTGTATGACATTTCTTTCAACATAAATTTTTCTGATTTGATGAACTTTTCATACAAACTGTAACAGATGCATGTCCTACATGCACACTAATTCTATTTTAAGTGACAGCAGTACTCAAGTTATACTTCATTGGTGTTCCATATTTTTCATTTCCAAATCTCAGACCTGAGTCCCATGTCTGGTCTATAATCATGTTTCTGTTTGCAATTTGTTCTTCCCATTATCTCTCCCTGCCTTCATTTCTGTGTTATGGAGGAAATGCTTATTACTTCTAATAAGTGCTCTGGAGAATAATTACGGAATGTTTGCTATAGTTAGGTATATGTAATATATGTGTGTAATATTATTGCTAAGAAGCTTATTTGAAGCTTATTTGGCTTTGTTGTCTTTGAGACTTAGGGATGGAGTAGTAAGTCATCAAGTTCTGGACAAAGCACATGCTTCTCTTGGCTTTCAACATTGTTTTGCATGCACTGAGATACTACTTTTCTGGAGAATTTTGGCATCATTACCATGTTATTCAACAGAGACTTGTTGAATTTGAGATTGAAGCAGCATATATCACAGTTTTCAACTTGTATTTCAGAAGCCTTAATTGATCCAGTGGTGTGCCAGTGTTATCAGAGAAGTAAATGCTGTTTTTCTTGAAGCTTCTTGCAAACTTTTATTATGGGCAAACTTGATTCACAGCATGCACAGCCAAAACTGTAATGTAACTGTAACTCAAATCTGAACTGCCTAATGAAAAAAAAATTATCACCTGCCTAATTATTACAAAAAATAATCTTTAAAATGCTACTACAGAAAAAAGTCTTTATAGTAATACAACTTAAATTGTAGCACACACACTGTCCAGCATTTTCTCCAATCTTCTGCTAAAGCTGTTACTACCCTTATGTGTTTTTAGCTTAATGATAGTAGGATTCTTGAGAAGGGGAAGAGCTACAGGAATCATCAATGTCTTGAGTTCTTTAGTTAGAACAGCATGATGTTGATGGTGAAAGATTTGTACTCCTGTCTCCTGGGAGCATTTATAAATTTGCTAATACAGTCTTATTTTCTCTTTTTGTCACTGGTTCTTAGCCAGACCCAATGAATGCTTTTGCCATATTTGACATAAATTTTGACATATTTTAGCATCGTTTAATGACTTTTTTTTCTTTTTGCAAGTTTACTTACCAGCTCCTTCAGATTTGCAAAAGTACTTTTAAGGTGCTAAGTCTTTCAAGCTTTATTTTTCAGAATAGTTATTAAGAGACTGTATTTCTATAGTGACATTGTAACTGTTTAGTCAGCAACTTCAAGAGTCTGTCACAACTATAACTTTGGGGAAAAGAAAATTACAGGGCTGTAACTTTTCCCTAGAGATAATTTATGCTGTGACAGATCATGTCTTTCCTCAAATTTTGATTTATGCACCAGGCATAATAAATTATTTTTTTCTCTCTTTATCTTTTCATGTAGTACTACTTTATCCAAGAATTTTCTAGAACTGCAAAATATTTGGAATTACTTTTTGGGGTCATAAACTTGAGAATGATGATCTCACTGTATCAGTTGTGAATAAATACAGATATATCAATATTAGTTCAATAAGAGGGAAAAATAATGTTTTATTGATATTGTCAAAATATTAGTTATAATCCTAAATTAAATTATCCTTTTTTCCCCCCTTTCTTTTCTTCCTTTTATTTCCTTTTTTTTCTATATTTGATAATTTGGATTTGAAATAATTTTCAATTTGCCCTAAGACCTGCAAGGGAAGGTGTGGTTTGCTTGCATAGTAATTATTAATATCTGTGTCATATCTTTACAGACTTTCTAGTAAATTGCTTCTTTTAACTTTTCATTGTCCATCCAAATTTTTGAATGTGATAAAAAGTTTTAGGCAGCACAATACAACTAGCTAAATGAATCTATGTAAATATCTAATACCTGTCCTTAATGATTAATGATGTGATATAACTAATAATTGTTATTGGACTGTTTTTCATAACAAAAGCATGCTCTGTAGATTATATATGTGAATCTTAATAAATTGTTAACCACATTAGGAGATCTTCAAGTTCTTTTGGAAAGTGTGAAGTTGAAATTTCAAAAGAATTATTCTGTTTTTCCATCTTCAAATGTAAATGCAATGTAATTATTTCTCTCCTCTCAGAAATACTAGAACATAAAAATGGCCTTCAGGGATCTACTTAGTACATAAGCTTGGCTCTAATAGTGATCAATTACTTATATGTGGCCAAACTATATAAAGTCAAAGAAATAATAATTTATCTATAATTTTTCAGAAACTTCAGCTTAATTACTGCCATAATCAGATAAAGTGCCTTTTTATTTAAAGCTCTTGAAAAGTCAGGAATTTCAAGGCTCATATAATCATTTGGTAACCATACTTACCTTTAGCAGAAAGTTACGCAGTGCAAATATGCCTAGTAAATAAACCCTTCTTTTGATATAATAGAAAGTTGGCACTGATCTTGCAGAAAATGAAGGAGTGTTCCCCATTGATCTTCTCCACAACACCCTTAAATGTTATAGAAAATCTGAAATATCTATCTTCTGCTCGATAAAATATATTACTCCAGACTCTATCCTGCACAGCACAAAATCATCTGCTTCATTATGTCTTCTGTCTAATATATTTACTTTTTTTTTTCTTAATGGAAATTGCATTTTTTTCTAAAATGTTTAACTTTTCTCACCTTCTTTCATAATAATGTTGTTAATTAGAAGTGCTGAGTGTTTATTTTTGTGCAATTTTTTATTGCACATTGGTATTCATGTTATAGAAGTAAGAGGGAAACAAATATAAAAGTATGCGCACGTTTCAACTTAGTTCAATATTTTGAAAGAAATAACTTTAAATAATTTAAAAGTTAGATAAATTTAAGGAATATTTTTATAGTTTGTCCTTCAGTGAGGGAAAAAGAGTTATATGAAAATATACCATTCTATCATATGCAAATAGATATTCATTAAGGGTTTATTAATTTTGAGGAAATTCTTGTTTGCATACTTCTTATTTTGTAACAAACTACTCATATTGATTTCCTCCGTTTACAAGTTTTTGCACCACAGGTTTTAAAACTAGGATGTGTCTTATCTACTGGAAGAATGTCCATGGATGTACCTTCATCTAACTACATAACTACATAAGTCACAATGAATTTTCTGAAAAAACATGGTTCTGTAATGAAGGACTATAGAAATTACCTGGAAAAAAGACAGAAGACTTAGTTTTGGTCATTATATAGTTATTTTTAAAAACTTTAAAAAGAAGAAGCAAGAACATTTGATATAGAAAGAAAGGCTTCTTAAAAAAAAACAACAGGGTCTACAGGGTGCTCAAAGAAGACCTTGAGAGAACTTCAGAAAATATTTATAACATTTTAGGTTATATTTAGAATTATATTTGCATTTGTTTCCTCTACAGCAAAGCTTCGTGAGTCTTGCTTTGATCCTGGAAATATAATGAATGGAACAAGACTTGGAATGGATTATAAACTGGGTTCCACTGTCACATATTACTGTGATGCAGGTTATGTTCTTCAGGGATATTCTACACTAACATGTATCATGGGAGATGATGGAAGACCTGGATGGAACAGAGCCTTGCCCAGTTGTCATGGTAAGAACAGTTTTTAAGTTATTTTAGTTGTCGTTGTTATTACTGTTTCTTAACCATATGGAAGAAATAGGTGAAAAATTGAAAGAAGTGATTTTAATAGTATTCTCTTTTAGGAAAAAGCCCTTTTCAACAACGTATGTAGTAAAATTTATATATGTAATACTAGGAAAACTATTTATTCAAGTTGCTATTAACATTGGATAAATAGTGCTATGTATTAGTATTGGAAATAGAAGGTTAGTAGTAATGTCATTCTCTATGCCGACAGATATTCTTGAAATAATTAACAGTAGAGTATAGAGATATACACCATGTATATATATATATATATATATATATATATATATATATATATATAAAGCCCTAAGTATACTTTGGATGTCATAATATACATTGGTTTCTTTTTTGTTATTACTAGTTTTGAGATCACGAAGATGAAACATTTTGTATATACAGCATTACGTCATTCAGTTGTTGAACATATGAGCTGTAGAAAAATTAAACCTTGAAACAGATGAAAGATCTAATTATTCAAACTTTTATCGATATGAAGAACTCCACTCATTTCAGAAATCTCCTGACTTCATTTAGATTACTTGTCTCAAGCATCAGTATTTTCAGATTTAAACCCTAAGGAAAAATTAAATATTTATTTTGCTTATTTCTTAACAGAAATTGATAAACACTTTGCACTTTTCACTTTGTGAAGTCACGTATTCTGTAAGATTAAGCGCAAAACCTCTCCCATGTATGCAGATTTTAATATCAGAAAAATGCCAAAGTACAAAATTAACATTTGCTTCATAAGTTAGAATAAAATCCAATTATCATGTTATTTTCAATTCCTTTTCATAATTTGAAGACAAAAAACCCTGTTAAATAAATTTCCAATTTGAGTAAGTACATATTTTGAATAGAGTATGCTGTGTGTTTTAAATTTCTACTGCAAATTGGATGGTGGAGTACCAGCAAAGCAGAAAAAAAATAAAACTCTCCAATCTAAAGAATAACCATTATTATAACCATCTAAAGAAGTTCAATATTTTCCTTGTCCACCAAAACCATCATAGTATTGAATTCCAAAATTCAGTGGCATCAAATTGGAACATTGGCCCTAGCAAATGTTTGGAAGTGTGTTCAAACTTGTAGACTGTGTACAATGGAAGTCAGAAGTTTTTTCCCCCATTTAAAATGAGATGTGAGAGTTGTTTCCTGGAGAGGAGTTAGTGAGGAAAGTTGTAAATAAGAGGGTAAAGGTTTCCTTTTTTTGGAAGTTCTTTTTCAGAGATAATGAAAGATAAAGGATTTCTTTCTCAATGCAATAATTGTATCTCTTAAAGTCACTTATAATCTACTTAGCAGTCTTCCAGTGTTATCTATCTTAACATTCACTAAAGGGAGAATGTTTTGCTTGGAAGCATTGCCATTGAAATTAAAAGAGAAAAAAAGTCTTATCATAAAAGAAGTAGTGGATATGTCTGTCACCAGTTCTAACTGGACTATTTTCTTTCCTGGATGAAAAAGGCCTTATTTCAAAGATGGTCTGTAAATCTTTAAATTTTTAATATCAATTTAGAGTCTGGGTTCTTCTTTTAAATTCTTTTGAGCCATATTTAATCATACAAATTTATAGGAAAAGTGAGGCAACTTAGAATGTTTAAAAGAGAAATATTATGAATGAATATTTTCATTTTGCTCATAGTTGGAGTTAAGTATGACAGGGGTGAGGAAGGGAAAGCCTTCAACATTCCAGGTGGCCCAAGGGACATGTTTTACATGGTCTTGTAAAGAGTATAAATCAAAACACACATAAAAGCTTTTCCTATCCTAAGAGAAGCGAATTTAATAATTTCCATGAAGAAAAATATTAGATAAATAACACAGATAATGTGAGGGTGAAACTGATACAAGGGTCCATAGTTAGACCCTATCAAGTAAAAAGTCTTTTTGCAATGATGTGAATATTTTCACTGAGTTGTAGAATCTCAATAAAAAAAGATAGAGTACCATCTCTATACACTTGCTGAATAACTTGGTGTGACTCAGCATACTCCTGAGGGATGAGTTTGGCCCAAACAGAGAAAGAAGTTAAGGGTTCTACTAGTTAGGAAGTATAGTCATTTAGATAAAATGTAGTTAAATATACATCCATGATTCAGAATATCAAAAATAAAATGAAGGCCACGACTCTATTAGTTTGTGAGGACAATCATTTGGCTTTAAGTATTCTCTGAAAAGAGCTAGTACATCAAGCTGCATACAAAATCTTTGTTGAAGAACACTGGTGTTCTGCATCTGGCCAGGCTTCGTTATGAACTGACTAGTAGTCCATCAAAACTTGCTTTCCTGAAATGTGCAAAACTAGAATATATGAGTGTCTGTACATCCTAAAAGACAAGAACTGATAATTTTGGATTAAGATAAAAGCTGAGTAATTTTTGATATTCTACCTTTATTCCCCAATATTTTTGTGACCTAGTCCTACGTGCATTAGGCATGACTTACATTTGGTTGAAATATTTTTTTTTAAATGACCTTGAGCCTCTCTAATAAGTGTGGGAAGTGAACCAAATCATTGGCTTCGTTCTTTTGTGAACATATGCAAAGATTATCCAGGTTAATATGCTAAGCTATTTGGTATTTCATGGTGGATATTAAGAACAGGATGTAATTAACATATGTAGATGAAATATTAGTATCATAGAGACAATGATTAATGATTTCTCTTCAGTGCACCAACTATAGGTAATTTTAAATTTTTGGTAACAAACAATAATTATTTACAAAGTAGCAAAAAGCCCTGTAATGGGAAATCATATTTATGACTAAGTGTGAAAACCTTGTTCCTACCAGAAGAAATCCTTTATCGTTCACCAAAAAATACTACTTCATTTCATTACAGCATGTTGTTTAATCCTCAGAAATATTTGAATCCAGGTTTCAAAATAACTCGATCTGTAAGATATATCTAACAATATCCAATATTTGGAATATTCATTCAGTTGTTTTCATCTGTATTAAGTTGTTACAGTTATTTGAAATAGCTCAAAGCAGGTTTATATCTGAAAACTTTTAAGATGGAAGACTGCACAGAAAAGCTTATTTTAGTTTTTATTATTTTGTAATATAGTAAATGTTGACAAATTTTTCATCAATTATTCAATATTGATTACTCAATCGGAGGCCACATTTCTATGTAGTTTTTACAGAACGAAGGTGTGATTCTAATATGGTTACTGCATACTGGTGTGGTCTTTTGAAACCATGACTTCAGTCAGCCAGGTTTTTTACATGATAAATCATAGTCAAACTTCAAACTAAAGTCAGACTTTACATTTGAATGTAAAAATATTGATCAACATATTTGGAATCTTTATAAAATTTTTCTGTCCCATTCTGTGTTTTTGGAGCACAAATGTAGAATTCTTTAATATATTCCCAAATCCCCAACTTTCATATATAAGCAACGAAAAAGAAAATTTTGAAAGGCGCAAAATAGTTGTTAGAAGCCTAACATTCATTAACTTCCATATATGGCATTCAACATTTTCATAATTTTGAAAAAGCAACCAAACAAAATTTATTTCTGGACAATACTCCTTGTTTTGAAAAGAAAGAAGAGGTCAAATTAATATCTAAAGTGTAACTGAGATCAGGATCAGACATTATTACAGGGATAGTATAGATGGGTAGTAGTAACTGGACTCTGGGTTGTTTTTTTATTAATTATGGGGGCTTTTTTTTTGCTAAAAAAAAATCCATTTATATTTAACTTTTTTTTTTTCTTTTTTTTTTTTTTACTTTTAATTATTTTATTAATTTCACAAGCCAGGCTGATATGTGCCTTTGCAGCTCTCTGTAAAAGGCTTGTTCCTCGATGATATTAACATTTTTTAAAAAAAAAAATGTACCTGTGGCAGACAATTGAGTCTGCAATAAACACATTGCCTTCATACTTTGGAGGTGGCAGAGGATTCAGTGACATAGTAAAAAAGAAACAGAGATACAGTGAGGATGCAAAGGCAGGATGGCTTATAATCATGAAAGAATTCTTGCAAAATCTGAAAGTAATTCTCTGAAATCCCATGTTTATCTTTCTCAAGTTAGGAAAGGCACTTAGATGGAAACTTTGAGGGTTGCATGAGTTTAAATGGTTGGTAGTTATGGTATAAAGAGGGGAACAAAGGCACTGAGAAAAGTGCTAAGATCAACCTTAGTTAGCTTTCCACTAATGTAGTAAAGATACTAAAGGCATTAAAACACATTTAAGAGGTGGCAGAGGTGATGCTGCAATTGTAGTCAACCATTTACCTCTGCTTGATGACACTTTTTTTAAAAGAAATTAATCTTTACCAATTTTGTATTTGAATTATGACTAGCTAAATGATATTGCAGAGTGAAAATCATTAATTGCCATGGTCACGTGAACAAGTTGTGCCACCTGCTCTTGGGTTTTCAGTGTTGAGTCACTCTTCTGACTAGATTTCTTCACTGTTTACTTCAGAAACTTTTCTTAAATGATCACTCATATAAGGTATAGCTATTATTTTTCTCATATTATACACTTTTATCATGTACTTTTTTGCTTGAAATCTTTGAGTAGGTAAAGAATTCATGACATTTGCACCATAAAAGAAAAACACAAAATTGATTCTTTTACTTTAAAACTACTCAATAGTTCTTTTAAATATTAATAAATAAAATCTTTAAAACCAGTAGTGGGGAAAAAAAAAAATCCATAGCCCCTTGAGGATGTGTTTGGAACATCTTCAACAGTAATCTCACATCCTACTGTGGCTGGGAGAGGGCATCAATTCCTTTTTTGATCTACTGATGATAAAGACTTGCTTATGTTTGTAGTCACCACATGAAAGGCTGCTATTTAAATCTATTTTGAAGTCTGAATTAGGGCAATTGCAATAAACACAGAGTATTCCTTCAGCAAATAAAGCTGTATTACTAGGAAAGAAGGCACTCTGGTTTTCTTTGTTTTATGGTTC